ACAACAACAACAACAACAACAACAACAACAACAACAACAACAACAACAACAACAACAACAACAACAACAACAACAACAACAACAACAACAACACACACAAATGATGATGTAGATGCACGAAATGATACACTCTGTCTTTACTTATGGTCCGCGCTGCCTACAAATTAACGGGAAAGGTAGCTTGAACTAAACCTTCTGCCGATACACGGGTGAGAGAGGCGACCATACCCACTGCATTTAACACACACCCACATGTCAGTGATGAAACCCCAACCACACGCCTCTATCGGCGGCCACGTCAGGAGGCAATGATGAGATAATAATGTTCTCCCATGCCCTTCTCACATTTAACGACATGCCATTACACAACAAGGTAAATATGTTCTCCCGCGCCGCACATGCCCCCATACGTCACACACAAAAAATAAGGCTGATGACGAAAATATACACACCCCGAGACGCGCTTGCTCCGCAAACACATGAGGGTGCCATAATAGAACACCCGACAAACCGAGTTCCCCTAAATCTTCCGTCTACAACTTCCCAACACAACATATGGCTACCAAACTGTCTTGTTGAGCCTGTTACCCACAGGGGAGATATCGTTGTATGCTGTCTGGGAAACCGTAGACATACAGGTAAGCCTTTCGCTCACGCTATGGATTCATTGCTAATCTATCTTAGACTCATTTCTAGACTATAGATAGAGATGGATTTGTTGTGTCATATTAAGAAAAAAAAAATGAAGTCACGGTTACAGCTGTGTTACATCTACAGAAAAAAAAAATGAAGTCACGGTTACAGCTGTGTTACATCTACTTTCTGCTGCTGAAACCGTGTGTCAGCACGTGCCAACAGCTGAGCGTTGACGCGACAGCTGTCAGAGCGGCTGTGGAGTGAGCATGTATGTATGCGTGGTGGTGCACGAGAGCGGGGAAGAGCATACCGTTGCGTTTCCAGCGCGCATTCAGCAAGGCGGTGACCGAAGCACCACCGTGTTGATGTCTCCCAATAAAGCTGTGGCAATACGCGAGAGAGAGCGGTTTGAACAGTCCGCCGTAGGCCTGTCCTCCATCGGCCGTTTTGCTTGTATGACGGAGAATAAGAAGATAGAATTACTTGAAATTAGTATAGAAATACAGTTTGTGTATCTAAATCGAAAATAAAACGGCCGATGGAGGACAGGCCTAGTCCGCCGCACGACGTCACTACAAGCTGGTCCAGCCAAGAACCAATTTTCGTTCGTCACGCCATAGCTTATCGAGAAAAAAGAATTGAGCCGC